CTATCCATTGATCATGATGAATGATTTCTTCTAAGTTAATGCATACCTGCATGAAGAATAATGGGCACATGTTCTACAAGTTAGCATGGTTTTTATGCAAGAATAATAGGTGAATATTCAATAAATCTGTAGTTTTCATGCAAGAATAAAGGGCAAATATTCTACAAATTTGCAGGGTTTTTGCAAATATCTTACAACTTTGTATTGTTTTATTCAAGAATAATGGGCGAATATTCTACAACTCTGAAAATTTACACTTCAGCATTAAAATAATAATTTAAACATTATAAAACTCATGTTTGCCCTTTGTTAAGAAATTAAAAAAAATATTTATTTCTGAGGCACAATGTGCCTTTAAAATAAGAAATCCGTTTGCAAAAATAGTTATCTATATTGGACATCAATAAATCAAATCATTCTTATCAGAAATTTCATGGCGATAAATTTTTGCTCATTTTCTCCGGCCTTTGATTTTATAAATCACACCTTACTGATTGGATTCCCAATTACATTTCAAGTGTTGACTGATCAAATAAGGCTATCTCTATTATGAAACACTTTAAACTAACTTCCTTACTATACAAGTAGTATGGTTTGTATACAGACTATAATGATAAATGACCTTATACAGTAACTATTGAATACACTTGTCCATACAGTACATATTTCTATATATTTCTTCCTCATTAAATATCACGTAACATAAAGTTTCAGATTTTAGTATAATAAAAGGGTATTCATTTATAATTTCAATGTAAAATTGTTTCTGTCGAGTCGTGGTTCAGCTAAGATACCTGCCATTTGATCCATTGGATCATATATGTACGCTCGAGACCTGCGGACCAGACAAATAAATGAGCCGCGTCATGACAAAACCAACATAGTGCGTTTGCTACCAGCATGGATCCAGACAGCCTGCGCATCCCCACAGTCTGATCAGGATCCATGCTGTTCGCTATCAATTCATCTACTTGTAATAGGGTCTGTAAGCGAACAGCATGGATCCTGATCAGAATGCGCGGATGAGCAGGCTGGTCTGGATCCATGCTGGTCGCAAAAGCATTATGCTGGTTTTGTCATGACACGGCTCAAATAATGTTTTCCCATATCAAGACACCAGTACTGGTCGTTCAAGGAAGAAATATTGACAGCAAAGTTAATATAAAACTTGCATTCTTCCCTGCAAAATAACCGACACACTGTTGTTGTTTTTTCTTTTTCAAATACAAATTAAAGTTTACTCTATCGTTACAATCTTGTAATTAGGTAATCTGCGTTTAAAAAACATTCCATGACAACAAAAGTATAAACAAAATATGTTAGGATAAATAAGTTTAAACTTTACTTTTGACAGGTTTTTGTCTTTTTTTCTTTGGCATTTAAATCATTTTTATATCTTTTGTATGTAAAAATCTTGCTACAAATATAATTAAACTGTATCAAACAGTGTCCATTCAGCACACTAAAACACATCTTCTAAAAAAAAAAAATCATGAATCAACAATAAAATCTATAACAACCACACTAAATCATTCTAAATTTATATATAAATTCAAGCCAAATAAAAAATGGCATTTACCATTATCTACACAAAATGGCAACAATGAATTCATGACAGAACAAGAACCGGTTGAACCGGGTGATGCTCCCCGAGAAGGTTCTGGACACAGGAAAGTATAAAAAAAATGAACAAAGGGCAATAACTCCAAAATTAGACCAGGCTTTGTTTAGGTTCTTGAAGCGTTGCAGTTCTATCCAATTACATCTAGCTACCTACAAAGTTTCATGATGATATCTCTAATAGTTTTAAAGTAATGTCCAGGACAAAAGTCAAAAAGTAAAAATAAACAAAGGGCAATTACTTCAAAATAAGGCAAGGCAGAGTAATGATTCTTAAGCACTGCACTTCCACCCAATGAGACCTATCTATCTACAAAGTTTCATGTCAATATCTCTTATAATTTTAGAGTAATGTCCCAGACAAAGTTCAAAGTGTCAAAATGAACAAAGGGCAATAACTCCAAAAGTAGGCAAGACAGTGTTACAGTTCTTGTGCACTGCAAACTTACTCAATGAGATCTATCTACCTACAAAGTTTCATGTTGATATCTCTTATACATTAAGAAATATGTCCCGGACAAAGTTCAAAGTGTAAAAATAAACAAAGGGGGGTAATTCAAAAATTATGCAAGGCAGAGTTAAGGTTCTTGTTCACTGCACACCTACTCAATGAGATCTATCTACCTACAAAGTTTCATGTTGATACCTCTAATACTTTTAGAGTTATGTCCCGGACAAAGTTCAAAGTGTAAAATAAACAAAGGGGGATAATTAAAAAATTAGGCAAGGCAGAGTTACGGTTCTTGTGCACTGCACACCTACTCAATGAGATCTATCTACCTACAAAGTTTCATGTTGATACCTCTTATACTTTTAGAGTTATGTCCTGGACAAATTTCAAAGTGTAAAATAAACAAAGGGGGATAATTCAAAAATTAGGCAAGGCAGAGTTACGGTTCTTGTGCACTGCACACCTACTCAATGAGATCTATCTACCTACAAAGTTTCATGTTGATACCTCTTATACTTTTAGAGTTATGTCCCGGACAATGTTCAAAGTGTAAAATAAACAAAGGGGGATAATTCAAAAATTAGGCAAGGCAGAGTTACGGTTCTTGTGCACTGCACTTCTACTCAATGAGATCTATCTCACCTACAAAGTTTCATGTTAATACCTCTTATACTTTTAGAGTTATGTCCCGGACAAATTTCAAAGTGTAAAATAAACAAAGGGGGGTAATTCAAAAATTAGGCAAGGCAGAGTTACGGTTCTTGTGCACTGCACTTCTACTCAATGAGATCTATCTACCTACAAAGTTTCATGTTGATACCTCTTATACTTTTAGAGTTATGTCCCGGACAAAGTTCAAAGTGTAAAATAAACAAAGGGGGATAATTCAAAAATTAGGCAAGGCAGAGTTACGGTTCTTGTGCACTGCACTTCTACTCAATGAGATCTATCTACCTACAAAGTTTCATGTTGATACCTCTTATACTTTTAGAGTTATGTCCCGGACAAAGTTCAAAGTGTAAAAATAAACAAAGGGGAATAATTCAAAAATTAGGCAAGGCAGAGTTACGGTTCTTGTGCACTGCACACCTACTTAATGAGATCTATCTACCTACAAAGTTTCATGTTGATACCTCTTGTTGTTTCAAAGTTATGTCCCGGACAAGAAAAGGGGACGGACGGACGGACGGACGGAAAGACGGACGGACAAGGCGGCGACTATATGCTCCCCCGAAATTTTTTCGGGGAGCATAAAAATGGCATTCGTAACATAAATATAATATATGTATATATATATGAAATTCACTATCTAAGGCAAATGAAAATGGCAAGGAGAGATTATAAAAAATTCACACAGAAAGACCCTTTTTTCAAAATTCATATAATAAGGTATAGTTATATCTAAAAACATCTCATAAAAGAAAATAGACAATATTACATTAAAATGCTTAAAACTTTGAGTAAGTCACGAAACAGAGTTCTCATCTTAAACAAAAAGAGAAAAGAGGTATTGATACATGATGACAAAAGAAATACTGTAGGCTAATCATATCTTTAAAACAGCATTCCTGGCTTTTCATGCCCTAACATAAAGGTCAGTTTGCTCTGATATGTAAACTAAAAGTCCTTCACTGTGACTCAATGCACAATATACTTAGTGCACAATATAACTAAATAACCTAAATTCATAAAACATGATAACAAAAGCTATCCAAAACTGTGCAGATTAATATGCAATGTTCAAATGGCATAACTTGTGACAATTGAAAACAAAATTTGTAGCTGTTTGAAATTCATTTACATAAGCTTTTTGAAACTCCTTTACGTAAGGACTGAGCAAAACAATAATATGTGCTTACATGTAATCAATTATAAATATTTATTGCAATTCCATGTTATATCACATGACTCTGTAGTAGTGAAATGATGACTATCTGGCTTTGATGATTTTAACCCATTACCAGATATACTGAATACACAGCTTTTTACGCCATTTTTCACCCTATTTTTGTTGTCTCAAATGGTGAAAAAATGCCTTATTTAGGCCCCCCCCCCAACACTTGTTTTTGTTTGAGAAATATTGTTTAAAAAATGACCAATTTTTTCGGCACCGCCCCCTATCCAAAAGATACATCAAGGGGTTGCCAGAAGGGGGATGCGCTCCCTTTTGTATGGGGGTTTGAAGGGAGGCGGCAGCCCCCCTCATCGCAAAATTTTTTTTTGACTTGTGAGAGGTTAAAAACGACCCCAAGTCGATCATGAGGTAATATGTAACCTGAACGCTGAAAAGCCTTTGACTCTATCTCAATCCATTGAGAAGTTGCAGCACTTTTGATGGAAAAAATCAACGCAAAATATTGATTTTTGGCAATTTTGAGATGTTCCCAACATGGTAACAGGAAATTTAAGACTGAGCATGTTGTTACAAAGGCAATGGTCCAGTCAACATTTGTGCCAAGTTTGATTAGTATTGAAGCAGTTTTTTACCAATTTGAACTTGTAACGGGAGACTTTTCAATGAAAACAGCCGTTTTTCACAAAATGCTCATGCAGTAATGGGTTAAGTAAAATGCTGGCTGCCATAAGGCTTATATTATTTCAGACTCTAGTCCCAACCAGAGCAGTTGCAAACCTGGCTTCATATGAATGAGTCCAAAGTCTCTGGCAGGGTTTGAACCCAGGAGTAAGTAATTCTGAACTATTCTGCCATGGGTAGCTTTCCTAGATTATTAACATTTTTATTGCATAACTATAACAACAGTTACATGTAGTTCACATGAGTGAAGGATAGCCTTTGTTTAGAAACGAATGTCTTAAAATTAGAATGCAAAGCAAACAGTAACAACATTCAATAAACAAAAATATTCGAATCGAAAATACAAAATGTACGTAAACAAACAACATGATGACCGACTATATATAGTTATACCATTGGTTGGACGGGGTGGGGCTGGCACTGTCGGCCTCCCACGACTAGATCTCCTTTGGGGTTTTATGATATGATTTGAGCCGTTACCTGAAATTCACACTCGACAATGTACATGTAACACTTTCACAACATCTCTGACAATAATTACACCCTTTATCTGTTCCCTACCAAACAGGTTGTTGCATAATAATATTACTATGCATGCATAAATGATGAATGTCTCCAAAAATTTATAAAAATATGACTATTTAGTACATTTTGTACTGAAAATATTTGCTATCTCTTTAAAAAATTGTTGCTAACCACATATTGCAAAAAATGACTTTGACCTTTATCATAAGTGAATTTGACCTTAAAGCTATCAACTGGAACTAAGGCACACACCTCTTGTATAATATATCAATTATGGTGAATACAGTAGAATGAAATTGTACGGAAGTGTGAAGTCTACAGACTGACGGACTCACTAATAACTAACCGTAACCATGGCAACTATAATGTATGTCAGATATCAAATTAACAAAGCGTAATTAATCATACACAGGTATGATACTTTACATGTAATTTTACCATATTCAATTCACTTAAACTCAAATTAAAGTTTATAAAAATTATGTTGAATGCATAGATCTCTACATGACCCTTCTTGACCTTAATCCGTCTTATTCAAATAATCATATTAATGTAATAAGACACTGCATTTCTTAACAAAATAACACATGTCTATGCTTGCTGTTAAATCTATTGCTATTCAAAGAAAATCTTAAAGTAGGGATCTATAAATAGGGAAGAATGCTTGAAAAAAGTGATGTCATAAAGAGATTTTGTAATATTAAACTTAAATTAAGTCACTTTACCTATAAACTTATATTCTATTTAAACAGTTTGGCTTTCAGAGCAGATTACCAAACAATTTAGCAAAAGGAGATAGTGCACATATCATATACATCATTACATATAGTTATCATATACATGTAGTCTGTTATAGTATAAATTATAAAATAAATAATATCAAAAGAACAACTCAAACCTTCCTGAATGCTACTAGTAATTCATATACATTTTTTATATACAGCAAAATAAAGAATTTCAAGGATGCCTTCACACAGCCTGTAACGTAGATTGATTTTTCCTTAACCAGAGATGTAATTTCCTAATTGGCACAGTGCCATTAATTAACTAGAAGCCACCTGTATCACTTGTATCATACGTTATTAATCATCTGTAAAACATACATTTATACATATATATCTGTTTTCCCTGTTACTGGTATATTATTCTTGTTATTTTTATTAAAAGCTGTATTAGAGATAAAAGAATGTGTTTAAATACTGCCATTTAACATATTGTGACCATGAATGGCTGATACATGTATTTTGAACTGTTCATATAATTGTAAGCCACACCCCCCCCCCCCCAACCCCTGACCCCTCGGAGGATAGCCTGGGAATGAGCTGGTGCATTTTTACTGCAGCACTGCCATTTAACATATTCCTACAATGAATATAGTTCATGCATGTAATATGCACCATTCATTTAATTCCCTCCTACACCGCCCTCACCCCGAGGATAGCCTGAGAAGTAGCTTGACACTGCATTTTTTGACACTGCATTTTTACCACCCTTTCCTTAAAAAAATTGCTGGGTTAATGTAGTGGTTATAATTATTGTATCAAGTATAGGCTTGTATAGCCATAATTCTTTTTGTGATCTGTTATAGTTCATGAACATTTTTTAGTGTTTCATAAATTTATCTTGGGATATTAGAATTTAGGACGATCATTTAGATATAAATGATATATTTCTGATTGACAATGGATATCAGCAATTTTGTGACAAAAGAATAATATTTTACCGTCGGAAAATGAATTGCTATCTGAAGCATTAAGATCTTTTAAACCAGCTACACTCAATAAAAGACTTACACATATATTACTGATATGCAGCATGAGTAAAGGAGCTGTAATAATGAGAAATACGGTACAATATATATACTTATATCTCAAGCAGTGCTTCAACAGCAGGAATAAGGATAATTTTCCAGTGTTTAAATCAGATTTTTTTAACATCTACACCTGCAAAACTTATATGAAGTGTGAAAAAGAGCAATGATTATGAAAATTACGGTACAATACATATTTTGAGAAGTGTGTTAACAGAAAAAATATGGTATAAGCATAATTTTTGAACTTACAATCATCAACAGAGCCTCTTCCAAATGGAATAGCACCATGACTGCCAGAGGTTGGCCGACTAGCTACGGTATTGAACTTTCCGGGCCCGCCACCTCCCATACCTCCCATACCCATTGGTGATGGCTTGTTACCTGAAATCAAGTTACATTTTGTAATCCATACATTTACTGTATTCCACCTAACAGAAGATTTCATAAACTTCTATGTAACTTTAAAATTATTTGAATAAATTGCATCTTTGGATATCAAATCTTAAAACATACAATTAATTTGGCATTACATGAATATAACTACATGTAAATTGCATCAAAATTATTAAATTCTACAGCATGTACTATACAAATTAAAAATTATAAATGAAATACGGAGAAAACTTTTACTTGTTATAGGTGCACTCCTGTCATTAGTTACTGCTTTCTTTAATTTCATTCCTTTATGAATGTCACTAAGCAGAGCTCCTCTTTCCTTTTTACCTCCTTTTGAACCACCTAAAGCTGGTGCATTCACAGCCGGGGGCGGTGGAGGCCCGGGGGGAGGAGGTGGTGGTGGTGGCATGTTTGATTCTCTCTATCTTTCACTGAAAAAATAATCAATAAATCTTTATCTTTCACCGACAGAAAAAAAATCAATAAATCACTATCTTTCACTGAAATAAACAACACCCAGCAATAACAAATTGTGCAGATGGACATGGCTTGCTCTGCCATTTAAGCCACTTGCAAACATCTTTGGCTACACTACAGCAATTTTTGGTTACACAGGCAGGTTATGCTTTTCTTTTTTTTACCAAATTTTGTATGAAATTAGAAAATCAAACTGATTTGGCTAAATGAAATATTCAGCCGAAGAAAATGCACTGTTACTTTTTAATCGAACTAGTACTGCCAGTAAATTCTATGTGAAATTAAGACCTCCTGTTTTTGACATTATACTAGATCTGACATTATGATACGCCTACTCTAGTCACTTCAGCCCTGTCTTAAAATACAACCCTTACTGTCCCAATCTTTGATCTTCCTAAGAAAAGTTTTTGACACCACATTATCAATTTATCACATAAAAACAAACAAATTCAACTTTGATTTATAAAATTGTGACCAAGATATACCAAAAATTTCAAACAGGCAGCAGTCGCTAGCTGTACGGGCCAGTATTGCTAGCTAAATGTGAGTAACGTACAACTAGCCTATACGCATTGTTGTAGCTAGCCATACAGAATTTTTTAAATACATAACCTAAAACAATAATAAATATGACTCTATCTGAATCCATTGAGAAGTTGCAGCACTTTGAAATCATGGAAAAAATCTACGCAAAATAGTGATTTGGGCAATTTTAAGATGTCCCCTTGTTGCCATGGTAACAGGAAATTTAAGACTGAGCATGTTGTTACAAAGGCAATGGTCCAGTCAACATTTGTGCCAAGTTTGAACTTTGATGAGTATTGAAGAAGTTTTTATAGTTTTATAGCAATTTGAACTTGTAACGGGAGGCTTCAATGAAAACAGCCATTTTTCACAAAATGCAGTAATGGGTTAAAGAAATCCATTTAACTATCATTTTCATTTGACAAAAAATTGTTTTTTTTTATACATCAAAACGTTTGACTTAAGTTTTTGGTGACACGCTTTTGTTAAGCAAACATATACTAGGGCTGCGGCTGATAGAAATTTTTGTATCAATATATTGAAGGGTAAATATCAACGATACATTGATACATCGAAACAAATTTGAGATATCATATGCAAACATACTTGAATAAATTATTTTGCATGGTTTACATAAAATATACAACAATATCAGATGAAACCAAGTTCTCTTGTTATTCATAATCCCCCCAAAAAATTTACAACTAAGAACTATTTATAACTCACAGGAACTGAACTCTCTGCATACACGGACCAATGCTTTCTTGTCAATATGTGACCTTATATTTGTGGTATATTGCCTCTGTATGGCATAATTAGATGGCAAACTTTACAAACTATTTTCAACTCAAAATTTTTCAGATACAAAGCTATTTTTTTAACCTATTCAAACAAACCTGGCAATTTATGGCGTAGCCACCATGTTGCTATGCAAATTAAAAAGCCTGGTAATTCGTTATTATCACTGTCGTCTACAGAATAATGCACACTAAATTTCGGAAAATAAACATGCCGCACCACAAATCAAGTGTTTATTGTCAAAATGTTCAATTTCTAAAATTTTGGTATTTTTGACCTGATGTCATAAGATTGATGTATGAGCTAACAATGTAAACATTAATGGCTGCTGTTTTGCTTTTGGTCGGAGATTAAAATTTCAATTGCAATGACAAACTTGTAAGGATTTAAATTTGAAATGTTCTTATATTTTATTCATTACATTTTGACACTTTTATTTGAATGATTAAACCGATATTCAAAATTTTGTACTGATATCGAATCGATGATACATCAATATCACAATTTCAGACGACGGCCCTAACATATACGACATGATCACTAGACTTACTGAAAAATTTATGCGCTAAGTACTGTATGCCCCTTATTGGTCTCAATTGAAACGAGTCACGCTAATCTATTTAATTGTTGTTTATTGATATTTAATCAGCAATAATCAACGCTCGGAAGATGTCACCTGTTGACTTCCAACACCCGCACAATTGTATCTCCGCGTTTCATTGGTTTTCCAATTTTACTGACCAATGAAAATAGGTTTTACAGTCTGCTTTAAAATAGGTGGAGCGTGGACGATTTTGACACTTGGGAAATTACTGCTGTGTTTATCCAAATAAGGGCGACTTTGTTTTCGCTTTTCTAAGCAAACCGGGTGAAATGCAGAGACAGAGTGACTATTGCGCCAAAGTCGCCTAGAAAAGCCATCCCTGAATTTATTCCTGATAGATATATCCAATATCTTGTCATATTATATATGGCCTAACATCGTCTGTAAAACTATGTATTGTAGAAAAAATATGTATGTTCATTTTTTATGAAAATCTATAATAAGATGTGCAAGTTACTGACTTCATCATTGAAAAAATACTGTACGACGACAGTATACAGTGTGTATAGGCTAGCCATACGTGCCTTATACATGGCTGAAACGCTCATGTACGGGCCAGTTTATCAACTATCTAGCCACTTCCTAAAAAAAAAAACTGGTTTTCTTTCTGGCAAATATCAATCAATTAGTTACTTACCATAGAAATGTTGATACTGTCTCTATGTACACATATTGCATATGTATTATTTAAGTGCAGGGCACTCGTTTGGCCATTTTTGGGGCCGAATATCGGCCCCATTCCCCTCTCAAAATCATATGCTTTTTTCCCCTATTTCAGTAGAAAATTCCCCTAAAAAAATTGTAGTGTAAATGTTTGATATTTAACCAAAAAAGTATAAAAATAAAATATATTTCTGTTTAACTTTCAATGGATTGAAAACTAAAATACAGTTGTCAACAACGCTGTATGTTAAAACCGAAAGTAGCAGGAAGTGAGAAATGTACAAGGGAGGTAACTCTCGTAAAATTATTGACAAAATTAATGTGGCAGATAATCATCGTAGGAGTTTACCTTATATTCAATTTGTTTAGAGAATAGACATTCATTGTCATATTCTACTAGTCAATAAACAAAACTATTTTAAATTACTGTCAGTTGTTGTTGGAAAAAACGTATTTCTCTTGCAGCTTTGTACTCAAATATTTTCGTACCAAATATTTTCGTACCCAGTTTTACAGTTACAGACAATTTCCTCTGAAACCAAAACCTTTTTTAGAAAAGGCATAAAACTTTCTTGTTTATTTTTATTTAATTCTTATTTCAATTATCATTGTTATAATTGTTTCAATCTAAAGAACAGGCAGAAATATGTAGAAAATAGATTAAGAACTGACCAGTGCAGGTTCTAAAATAGTGTGATTAAAAATAAAGAAAACATTAATAGGAAATAGTTTTGCTGTGTTTCAATAACTTGGGTACAACATACCCTTGCCTAGGAAAGTCTGCCTTTCCAGAGCTTGTTGCACTGATTCAATTTTTGTTGTACAAGTTTTGTTTTTTTAAACAACAGCAACAAAAACAACTGTCAGTTTTTATTTTTTATCATAAACAAAATGCATTATGCTTGTTATAGATTTTAATATAACCCTAACGTTTTTCAGAATTTGCATTTTACCCCTCACTTTAGAATTTCAGGGGTATTAAACCCTTGGCCAAAAACATATAATTATCCGGAGCTCTGATTGATGTCTGAGTCAGTCAAGAGCAATAAGAAAGCAATAAAGAAAACAATGAGATAGCCTGTCTCAAGAAAAGCTTCATGTTATATGTTTTATTTGTGAGGTCTATAGTAATAAATATACTAGCTATTGTAAGTAATGGTAGGAAATTGTGCCAAGAGTTAGTGTAAAACTTAAATATAAAGAACTTGTATATGGCTTAAAATTCCCCTTTTTGTCTTAAAATGACACAAAATTCCCCTTCCTGAGGGTATGGGTACCTGTCCCAAAAAGTTGTCTAGTGCCCTGAAGTGCCATACTTTGATTTGCACTCTTTATAGATAAATGGATATTTTAACTATGTCGCGAAAACTAATGACAATACAAAGGAATGTTTAATCCACAATTTTGGGACAAAGTTAACAACACACTGGGACAAGTAAGCAAATAATTTTTAAAAAAAATATTAATCATTCAATATCTTAACTTTAAACTCTTGCACCTATATTGACTCTGTTGCAATAAGGAAATAAAACAACCGGAAAACAAGTAAAATCCGAAAGAAAACAAACCCAGACTTCTGCTGTTTTTACCTGAATTTTTCAATAATCCCTGATTCTGTCATATTTCATAAAACCATCTAAGTAATCTCATGCTATTGTTTATTTGTTTCTCGGAATCCGGTCTTTTCAGTACTCCAAATTTGCAAAAAATATCAATCAGGAACTGTTTTGGTTTGTGTCAAACAAAATTGCGAGCTATTTGTCCAATTGGGGTTGTGAAATTGTCAATTTGCGGATCCCAATACTTCTGAGGGACACATTTTTTTTCTGCGGACCCAGATTTTTCAATTCTGCTAAGTGTTTAAATTACAGAATATATAAAACTCATTTTAAATTAGAACATTATTTACTATGTTTACCAAGTATTATATCAATTACTCTTTGTAAATTTAGATGTCTCTATTCTGATCTTCCTTTAGAGAAATGTTGAAAGAGAAAATAGAACCTGCTCACTTTGTAGGTGAGGAATTTCACTATATTTTTAAATGTAGCTATTTTACTAATGAAAGACACAAGTATATCAGTAATTACTATTCAAGTTTTCCTAGTATTTTAAATTTTCAGGCTTTAATGTCATGGAGTTAAATATAGATGTATAGATGTCCGTGTTAATGTGAAGTGATAACAGAAATAATTTATTTAATCTGGCAATGTTTGTTAAAGCAGGGTCTTTCAAATAATTATTTGCTATTTGAAAGACCTAGCTTGGTTGAAGCAATACTGCTGAAATTTCACTAAGTCATCTTCCTTATTTAATTATTTACTTCTGTGCCATTTTTGTATTATAATTATTTGTTGTATTGTTTGTTGTTCCTTTAAGGCCATGAGTTTTTAAATAAAAATAAAATTTCAGAAATAAGGACTTGTCATCGGTCATGTCCTTTAAGCACAAATTAGTGATAATTTACCACGGAGTATTAGCCAAAGATATGAATTTTGAGCCAAAAATAGTTGTACGGCGGTCAATGAGAACCTAAATGTATAGTAACCTGAGACAATAATGAAAGGAGGTAGCCCTTAAAACGGCTGTTGGTGCCAAGCAAAGAGCCTGCATTACAAGCCGTCATTCGTACTAGAGGCTCAACCCCCTAGTACCCCATCCTTGACAACTCAGCCTACTTAGTAGGGCCACTCCCCTCGCCTTTAAATAGTCAGGACACCGGCAGTTAACTTCATGCAAGCAAAGTCGTGCCGCCTTAAACGTTACTCAGAGCTGTAGAAAACATGCGAACTTGCCGTCTTGCACGTAGCATATTGGTTCCGGTGCCGATGTCCCGTGTCTTCTCAACGACGTGCACGTACCGAGGGGAAGAGAGGAGATTTTAATTGGAATGAAATAATCAAAATATAACTTTACCGATCTAACTATAACCTGGAATAATAGTTTCGTAAATATAATTACTTTCCTGGTCAGTACACGGTGCATATCCATGTCGGTATACCTTCTTTGCGAAATCTACTAAAGCGGTACCCTCTCTCCACATACGCATGTCATTAGTTGCTGAAAACAAGTAGGTGACATACACCAGTCTATTACATGTATGTGTTCATTCTATTGATAAAAGTTGGTAAAAGTTGAAAATTTTGAATGTGCTCGTTCACCAATTAAAGCACTGTTTATGACACACTCAGTTAAAACATTTAAGCAGTATTAACAGCTAGAAACATACTTTAGTCTTGTTTGATGAATTTAAGATTTGACCAAACGAGTAGATAAACCGAGTGGAATAGTTACATTTCAATTCTAAAAATATCTGCACAATCGGTTCATATCTTCAATATTAACTTCGTCAAATCAGAAGCTATAGGATCGAAGCTGCATGAAACTTAAAACCGAGTGTGTCATAAGATTGGTTTATAGAAAAATCAAAATAACATATAAAACCACATAAATACAAGCATTATAAGGACCAGCCTTACGGATGGAAATGTATACTCACTATTCCCATGCAGTCGTTGACAGGCTAACCATGCATCGTCAGAACTTTTGAAAAGTCTTGCGACGGAGAAAAATAACGGAAACTTGTAACATGAGAACCAGCTGCTGTTGGCCTGAGTGGCCATACGTACAGAATAAGTAAGGACGACGAGAGAGAGTGCCAGGGTACTCAAACCCTAAGTACGCAGTGACGGTTTTTTAAAGGCAGGCTTCAAAGGCAGACCCTTTGCTTAGCAATAATAGCCCGGACCATCTCACCTTGTCATAAGTGTCTCAGGTAACTTTACGTTTTGGTGTCCATTCACAGATTATCGGCGTGGGACCAAGCCCTACCCACAGGGTACCACCCAGGAGCCCCTGTACTACCCAAATATACTTCAACCCATTCAAAATACATGTCAATATAAAATCAAACAATTCTAATTATAGAGGGTCCTAAGGTGTACCCTGGGGGTAGGGCTTTGTCCCACGCCGATAACCTGTGACCCATTGACTACTGTACAGTGACGTTTCACATGCACTTTACGCATAAAATTCATCTCGTTGGCTAATACTTTGGAAATTGCACAGAGGCAAATTATGTGCTTCAAAGAGAATAAATGGTATGACTCATGACAAGTACGGGGTCCATATTCGATACAGAAAGCTACGTATCGTGCAGACCCATATAAAGCATTATGAAACTTACGTTACGTATAGTGATGGGGATACACAGAAAAACTCGGTTTATTTTCCTCGTTCCACCCTAGGATGAATGGGGGCATGGTTACAACTGACTGGCTCATTCTTTTAACAGATATGTGCCTCTCAGCTATAAATTTGACGAGTCAACAATTGTTCCTGAAAATTTAAGATATTTTAAGCAATAGTTTCATCTTATAATACAATGTATAATATAATTAAACAGGGCTATCACCGTGGGTGGTGTGAGCTCTACTGTATTCCCTGATGATATCACCATGTGTAAACTTGAGATATAAACCAATAGACAAAGCAATTACTGGGGGTTGTGTGACCTTTACTGTATTTCCTTGGAATTGTCACCCTGCTTTATATGAGATAGGAAATATTAGATAGGGCTATCAAAGTGAGTCACGTGAGTTTTAGTGTGTTCCCTTTGGACTATCACCGTGATTTATTTGACACATTTTAGCGTATTTTTTTTATGTTTCAACAATTGACAATTATACTGTATATTAAAAAAATCGTGTAAGGAGAAACTTCGTAATCTTGATAACTGTATTCTTGCGATAACGAACTAGATAAATATCTCATATATCTTTATATTATCGGTATTTTCTACCGAATACGCATTGTTCATTTATCACAAATACATATATTACGAGTCGTTACTAGATACCTTTTTGGGGGGAAGTGATCAGATTTTCGTGGTAAGTTTTTGTAAATTTCGTAAAATTAAAAAGAAATATAACTTGATTTTATAGATACACAGTGCTTATCAAAGGTATTAATTGAATACTAGTATGCCATATAGACTGTATCTGATAAGTGTAACATAAAAAATACGATATTATACTTTGTGATTCTGTTTTTGTGTTTTTGCCTTTCACTTTGCAGGGCGCCACTCGTGACGCCAGGCGAAAACAAGAAATTACAAAAGAGTCACGGTGACCACTTTGTGGTATTCTGGTGTCTTCGTCAGCTGACCCACGGGGCAAAAGTACGAGAAATTCATCACTTTTTCGTATTTTCGTGTTCTCACCTGTAACGTTAGAATTCGTTTTTAATGCTGTGCATACATCTTATAATGATGCACTTGTGTAACGATTGCCCTATCTGTTTAATAGGGCCATATTTTGAAGCGTATTTTTAAATTGGTTCCAATGAAATTTTAACGGCCTCACCCCTAAAAGCTAATCTATCCTGCTGCAGTAATACAGTTATAGCACATATATGTACCATTTGATTGTTTGTAAAATAGATTTAAGGTAACTTAAATGTTCTGTAAAACAATACTAGTTTCATCATGAATGAAGTAGTTATTAAAACGTTCTTTTACCTAGATTTACAAGTACATTAACAAATGGAATATGCCAAAACATACCGAGAAAAATCGTTAAGAGAGCAAGACATTCTTAAAGAACTGATTTGTTGCACTACGTTGTTTTGTTTGTTTGTTTGTATTTAGTTTACATAATTACCGTATTACCGTAATCTTTGCACGATTCTTTTAATTTCATCGTTCATATGTTCCCTTTTTTGTAGATATTGCATATCTTCTTGCTGAGTTAAAACCCAACAAACATGACATGCTCAAAAGAACCTGCGTGGCAATCCAACAGATTGTTTGAGGAGACAAACCTGCGAATGTTGCAAGATGAAAGACTTTGTGACGTCACTTTTCTTGTAGGAACCGTGAAGGAAGAAAAAATAATGGCGCACCGATTCATATTAGCAAGCAGAAGTCCTGTCTTCTTTACAATGTTTTGTGGATCACTTCCAGAGACCAGTCAAACAATTGGTGTTCCTGATATTGAACCTGCTATATTCCGCGATTTGTTAAGGTATTTTACAATATTTTATTCAAATACTTTGATCCTTATTTACAACCGTCAAAAGAATTAACTTTGTGAACTTAGGATGAAATTAATATACTAGGAAATTTTTAAAAATAATTGTTTGAAAAATCTGTAATTACTTCCCGTTTTCAACATGTTAGACACGCAAATGAATAATTACTGATTGAAGTAGACCTTGCAGATTTACGCTTAGACTGCATTCAAAATAATACTCACTAAGATTCTGTATGGTATGTTTATGAAAATGCAAAGATAATATTTCATGTTTATTTTCAAGAGCTCATATAAGTATTAAAATTATTAATATTGTATCGATATCAAAATACTACAATGTTGTTGAATTTATTGCATTAATTATAGTAATTATTTGAAGGTATATTTATACGGAAGACTGCAGTCTTAATGAACATAAAGCAATTGCTCTTCTGTACTGTTCAAAAAAGTATGAACTGGAGCGTCTCAGAGAAGCATGCCAAAAGTTCCTTAACACAAATATTTCTTCCGACAACGTTTGTACAATTTTGCAACATGCTGTTCAATTTGACGAAGTTGATTTAGAAAACAGATGCCTTACGTTTGTGACGGAGAACGCTGAGACAGTGTTTAAATCTGATGGTCTGTCTACTCTTTCTAAAGAAGTTTTAAAGAAAGTTATTGAATCAGATGAACTTATTGCAGATGAATTATGTGTATACAATGCATGCAAGAAATGGGCAATTGCACAGTGTAATAGTAAAAGTGATAATCATGAGCATTCAGAGCTTGATCAAAGGCGTGCGTTAGGGGACCTCATATATTCAGTGAGGTTTGCTACAATGTCGTTCCAAACATTTGCAGAGAGTGTAGCCGTTGAAGATATACTGACGCCAGAAGAAAAAGTGTTTGTATTTCAATTTTTAGCAGGAATAGTTAGCAAGAAAACATCATTTCCGTTTCAAGCAATATCAAAAAATCGAAATTATAGAACGAAAATTGTGGAAGTACAAAGATTTGGACCGAATTATTATCAGCACTGGATCTATTGCGGACATCCCGATGTTTTGAACTTCAAAGTGTCCATTCCATGTAAGATTGTAGGTGTAAGTTTGTTTGCTCCTTGTTCGGCAGGTATTTTAGAGGGCACAATTGGTTTGCAAAATGACACATCTGTATTGACAACGGAAAAGAATATAAAGATAATGTATGGGGTGTCAAAGTATTATGAAACTGTTTTGTTCGACAAACCAGTCGATATTGAACCAGAAAGAATTTACTCCATATTCGCCTTACTCAAAGCTGAGAAAACATATTATGGAAATGGTGGGAAAGTAAAAGTCGTTTCAGGACCACTTGAAGTTGTATTTTCACACAACGGTAATAGTACAAATAAAACATCTGACACGCGAGGACAATTCCACTCGATTACTTTCGAGTTCTAACCGCAACATTAATTTGAATGGTATACAATTGCACATATCTTTTGTGCAGATCTAGTGATGTTATCACACTCATATGCAAAAATCGTTTACCTTTATTATTGAAGATTGTAAGTCAACTTTGTGAAAACTTGAAACAACGTCTTTGACAAGAATTCGTGCGTATGAATAAAAAATGTATTTGTCAACATTTCACCGATGAGCGTTGACACTTCTGCATAGCAAAGGCGTGTTATGTTATAGAAATTGAAGTTGAATGAAACTTGGAATGAGAAACAATTTAAAATTAAATTTCATTCAAAGTTGTTTCTTTTGTATTATTTATTGCTTAAAATTTGATTTTTCAATATTATGTCTGTCCAAGATGTTGCAAAAACGCAATTGTAAAACCTGAAGGGATTTGTTGTAAATACTCGTGCATTTATATGCTATCATTGAAGTAACTGACAATCATGTATATAATAAGATTTCAGATAATTGTATTATCACATGTAAGAATTTCTTTAGGAATATATATTTAACATTTTTCTTGACATTGTATGCGTGTTAAACTATATTGTCTATATGCTTGGGAAAATGTGTTGGGATATTTCAACGGAAGTCAACACTTGGTATTGTGATATTGGCGTAAGATCGTAAATATCGTTTTATATCTCGTGTACTGATTTAGAGATTGGATAATTGACGAGGTATTGACTTGATTCTCTGTTTCCTAGGACCTCAGTTCTATGAAGCATATTTGGGTTCTTCTTGATCACAGCATGGCGGCAACAAGTTTAAGGAATTGGCAGGATGCTCTGCAAATCGAATAAAATTACAGTATCCCTCATATCGTACAACAATACATCAATTTTCATCAGAAGTCGTATTGTATGGTTTATTCGATATCCTGATGGTCATACAATATAAGGACGAAGAAATCGCAGGAAATCATTACTTGAGTCATACACCACAGTTTTATTGAAAATATTAAAATCGTACCCCAATGTCAACAACAAACGCTTTACTTTTTATTTGACCATTTCCACGCAAATCCAAACATGATTAGTCAAGAAGGATCGCTAGTCTAAAACAAGTTCTACATCTCTGTAGATAATTGAAAATCCTGAAAAAGTTACTTCTTCTGCCCCATATCTCACTATAGCAACTCAACGACCTGGTATTGTAGACTGTAATGGGAAAAATACCATTATTCAATTATTTCAAGCTAATCAACTTCGTTGTGTCCTATTATCTAAATACTTTAAGACCATTTGAGTTATAACAAATACAATCAAATTAACTAAATTGAATAAATCCACACTATTTGTATCATATATATTGGCAAAAAAGTACGCAGCTCGTCTTCGTTATTCACATATATAGGAATCAAAAACGTAATATATCTTGACAATTGGCAAAGTAAGACATATCTTTTAAGTTTCAATTATGAAGGATTATGTTTAAACATCACATCTTTATTCGAGAGTGACTCCTTTTTTATGCAGGATATACCAAATCTCCTGTGCAACGTCCGGCACGTACAAAACGTAATCTTTCATTTAAAAGACAAGGAGATATGTCAATAAACCAATCCCCCATGCTTACAATTATAGCTAATCGTTGGCAAAAATTGTTCCATGTACATTCAATAGTTATGTCAGACATTTCTCCCATGATTCTATGAATTTCTTTGACGACAGAGTCCACGTCAGACGAGTTTGTAAGAACAGTAGTGTAGTCCCAAACTGTTAAGCAAGTTAAAAGGTTTCTTCGACAAAATCTTTTATTTGATCATAAGCATAACAGGTTTACTTGCACGGGAAAATGTGATACATTCAAGTAAAGATACATTTAAAAATATTTCCAACAGAGTTCTTTGACAATTAGATTATTGATCGGCATCAGGTAAACGGCTTTGCAAAGCAGTTTTCTTCTATGTGCAATATCCCTAAATTTCAACCAAACTCACAGACAGTTTGTCATCAAGTATTTGGTATTTTATGATCTATTTGATTATTGTTTGACAGAAATATGGTCCTTTTACTTTTTCTTATGTGTTATATTGACGAAAAACCATTACTTTTTTCGTCCTTTACTCTATATCGGACGCTTTTTTGGCGTTTATTACGTTTTTACGTTTTACGTAGGTCATATTGTGACAACGTTCCAGCTGTACTAGGGAGGAAACCCCCAGCAGGTGCTTTTTTCAGGATTTTTTCAGGCACCTGAGTAGAACTACCGATGTTACGTAAGTTAGCAGAATAACGTCCCAAAGTCTCTGGCGGGATTCGAACCCACAGCGATGAGGGGCAAGTGGTTCTCGTATTCTCGTGTCTTCGTCTGGCGCCCAGTGGAGCGAAAATACATGACATAAATCAACCACTATAGTTCACCGATCGATATGCAGTTTATCAAAACGACCCGGAAGTTCAATGTTTTCCAAAAGGTGGACTTAGATTAGATTTACACAAAAGCAATTATTTAAACTAGAAGGGGGATACAGATTATAAATACAGATTGATAACATTTTTTCAGTCTTTATTACACAAGTAAGTGAATATAGAGCTTCTCTTTTATGTTAAAGTATTTAAACTATGTCATACTGAGTTGAAGGTAACTTACTCTTATTAAATTTAATATCACGAAATATATGTAATGTTTAAGAGTTTAATCGTATTAATAGTTTGATATCGCATGTGTTTTAATGTTGAGCGTACCATATCACATTATAAAGTCAGCATCATATTTGTTTGTTTGTTTGTTTGAGTTTGAAATAGATACATAAAGATACATGTCGATACATGCAAACCTTTAAATAAATAATCGCCTTTTATACAATTTAGGTATCAGAATTAATGTACAGCTTTGTATGTAACTCCACACAGCGGTAACTTACCCATAATCAGTACAAAATAATGGTAAACAAGATACCTTTGAACATAATGTATAAGCGGTGCATATTTTTTCTTCAATTTAAGCGTAAACTAGTTTTTTTCTTCTTTTATGTTTTGAAGCTTTTTAAAAAAAATGTTCGGAGTATATAAAGAATTATGTTAACATTTGCTTCATTCTGTCATTGAGCAGTGATGTGTAACTTGTTTTCTAAATTAAATACTGTGTATAAGTGTAAGGAATTGATAGTTCTTTAAACAATTGGTAATCTTATAATATCATCTTAAAGAGACATTATGCTCATTATTCTCATTGTCAAATTGAACTGAATTGACTCATTATTTCAAAAGACTGGGTGTTATAATAATTGATCTTGAACATTGTTAAGGATAAATTATTTATCTGCTTAAAATACACTCCTTTTATAAATTGAACGCTGAAGGTTTATTTCGATGTATATTTATATAAATTCACTTGGGTATTGTTAGTTATTTATCGTTTATGCGAAATGAATTATAAATTGAAAGAAATTGTCAAAATGTAAACATATTTTGATTTTCACTCAGTATATGCACTTGATCGGGCACATTATTAAGTTAGTGGGGGAGAGGTCCAATATAATTTCCAAGGGTCTCACCTATCAATAAATAAATCCTTTGGGCTACTAAGAACAATCGTTAAGAGAACAAGGCATTCGTACAGAAATGATTTGATGCACAAAGTTTTTTCCATTTGTTTGTTTGTTTGTTCGTGTTTTAGTTTTAACAATTAACGTAATCTTTGCACGATCGATTGTTTTGATAATTATCGTTCATATTTTTCTTGTAGATATTACACATTTTTTTGCTGAGTCAAAACCCAACAAGCATGGAATGCTTAAAAGAACCTGCGTGGCAATCCAACAGATTGTTTGAGGAGACTAACTGGCGAATGTTGCAAAATGAAAGACTTTGTGACGTCACATTTCTTGTAGGAAGCGGGAAGGAAGAAAAAATAATGGCGCACCGATTTATATTAGCAAGTAGGAGTCCAGTCTTCTTTACAATGTTTTGTGGATCACTTCCAGAGACCAATAAAACAGTTGATGTTCCTGATATTGAACCTGCTATATTCCGCGATTTGTTAAGGTACTTCATAATATTTTTCTTCAAATACTTTGATTTATAAATACACTCCTCACTCGCAGCCGTCGTAAGAATTAAAAATGTTTCATATACCTGTAAATCCTTGAATATAATTTTTTGAAATAATGCATGGGTCCGAGGTCTTTCTCCACCAGTAAAGCTTAAAAGTCGCCAGATGACCTTTACTGTGTTGGTACGACGTAAAAGAAGACCAGTAAAAAGAGAATATATTTGTTTGAAAAACACCAACTTTAAGTATGTTTGACAAGAAAAGAAATATATTTGATCCAATTAGACTTCAGCTTTAGGCTTCTACATGTTTTTGGCGATTGTGAGAGAAGTCCAGAGCTAATATAAATATAAATTTATTACAATATTATAGGTTTCTAGTTTCTACCAATTTTAATATATAACAATGCAATTGAATTTATTCAATAAATTAAAATTATTATTAATTTTGAAGGTTTATTTACACAGAAGACTGCAGCATTAACGAGAATAATGTAATGGCTCTACTATACTGTTCCAAGAAGTATGGATTGGAGCGTCTCAGAGAAGCATGTCAAAAGTTCCTGAACACAAATTTATCTTCCGACAACGTTTGTACAATATTGCAACACGCAATTCAATTCGACGAAGTTCATTTAGAAAACCGATGTCTTACATTTGGGATGGAGAACGCTGAAATGGTGTTAAAATCAGATGGTCTGTCTACTATTTCTAAAGAAGTTCTTAAGAAAATTATTGAATCAGATGAACTTATTGTAGATGAATTATGTGTATACAATGCATGCAAGAGATGGGCAATTGCACAGTGTAATGGTAAAAGTGATAAACATGAGCGCTCAGAGCTAGCACAAAGGGGTAAGTTAGGGGACCTCATATATTCAGTGAGGTTTGCTACAATGTCGTTCCAAACATTTGCAGAGAATGTGGCCATTGAAGATATATTGACTTCAGAAGAAAAAGTGTTTGTATTTCAAACTATTGCAGGAATAGCTAGCAAGAAAACATCATTTCCGTTTCAAGCAATATCTAAAAAGCGAAAATTTAGAACTGAAATTGTAGAAGTACAAAGATTTGGACCGAATTATCACCAGACATGGTGCTACGGCGGAAGTCCCGATGTTTTGAACTTCAAAGTGTCCATTCCATGTAAGATTGTAGGTGTAAGTTTGTTTGCTCCTTATAATTCGGAGGATGTTTTAGAAGGTACAATGAGTTTGCAAAATGACACATCTATATTGACATCTGAAAATAATATAAAGGTAGTGTATGAAGTGTCAAAGTATTATGGAAATGTTTTGTTTGACAAACCGGTAGATATTGAACCAGATACAGAGTACACTATAATCGCCTTACTTAGAGGTGCGAGTACATATTATGGAAGTGATGGGAAAGTAAAAGTCGTTTCAGGACCACTTGAAGTTGAATTCTCAAACAACGTTAAAAGTACAAATAGCACTTCTCAATCACAAGGACAATTCCACTCATTCTCTTTCGAGATCAAAAAGCAACATTAAATTGTGTATTATGCAATTACACAAACCTTTTACGCAGACAATTATTTAATACCTAGTGATTTTTCAACAACGCAGATGCAGCAGTGTATGAAAAATGTATTTGTTAATACGTTACTGTATTCCGTTGAATAAAAGCTGTTTTAGTCAGCGAAGGAGTGTTGTTTAATAGAGAAATAAAGTTAGATGAAACACACATAACCTTGAGTTGCAAAACAAGTTTAATTCAAAATTATTCAAAGTGTGTTTCTTTTGTTTTCTTAATTGCTTAAAGACGCATTTTATAAATATAGAAAAATATTTTGCCATCGGTCTTTTTTATTAACCTTTTGCATAGTATTGTTTTAGATTTAATCAAATGTTGTTCGTAAAATATTATTTTAAAAGGAAACATTCTCGGTAACGTCTACTAATTATCTGTACGAAATCTGCTGTGGTCATAGTATTATTTTTACAATAGGTTTATCTCTTAGATTTGGTTTGCTACTGTATTGCTAATCATGGTCATGCAACTACATAGTTAGGTGAAGAAGCAGGCGCTTGTTTTGGTTGAGTCTATTATGTTTTGTTTAGGGGGTGAGTTGTCATACACAAATTTACAATTTATATGCATTTATTTTTTTCCAATGATTGTTATTATCTTAAATGCTTCTGGGATTATTGTTTTATCATTTCATTTGTAAATAAGATTGTTATATGTCTATTAACGGAATAATTTTAATGAACACGAAATTAGTTCACACCTTTATGTGTATTGATAACGTGATGGTTTAAGCCAATGAAAACACATCAATATTATTACAATCAGGCAGAGAAAAAGTGTGCAAAGAGTAAATCGATAATCTTTATGTAGCAAACAAACTTTGAATTGCAAGTATTTTTTCATATCTTTTCGGCAGGATAAACTGTCCGAGGAGGGCCAGGCATTTTCGTATCGTAAAATGGCTGCCATTTACAGTATCAAGTGATTATCCCAAGCACCACCGCGACTTTGCGCGGGAATTTTAATTATAGCTAACCTCGGCGCGTCGCATAGGATGGAAAATACCTTTTTCATATTTTATTGTAATAAATATTTACAAACTGTGTCTTTCGTTTTTTTTATCAATATATAACCAATAATGATGTTAATATGAATAAATAATAATATCTCAAATCTGTGACTATGATTTACAATGAAATTCTACCTTAAGTGTATTAAAAAGGTTTTTTAATTTCCTGTAATTTTATTTTGTGATTATGCTTCAAAGCAGTCAATTGACCGTGAATTTTCTTTTCATATTTTGATTTTCTTGAAATCATTTTTCTCATCTGAAGGCATGCAACTTTAATATGATGATACATTTATTACATTCCATGAAAATGTTTAAAGATATAAAATATCTCATGACATGTTTGTTCATTTTACATTACACCTTTAATTCAGCAAACATAAAGTCTTCACAAAAAGTAGTATGCAATCGTACCTATATTACATACGAATGTATGTAATATTTTTCTTGTAACATGCAAAAGAAGACTATAAAAAGCACAGGCACCAGCACAGGCACCAACCACGTATGTTGATTTTCTGTTCGAATAACACAAAGTTGGAGTTTCTCATGCAATGTCAATTTTGCCACCAGGAGGCTGCATATATTTACGGTAATCAAACTCGCCTTGGTCGTCTGAACACCAAAATAAGAGAGAAAATTGATATGAAACCCATTTTATAAACGAAAAGTGGCTATTTCTGCTTTTATGAAATGTAACAAATGCAGCTTTAAAAATTGGTTTAGTTAGTATTATGTAGGTACAAGCAGATTTTGCGATAAAAAATTTCATTCAAAAACACTTTAAATATTCATTCAGTAAAAGTATATATCTAATAAAATTTTAAATATTTGTATGATCATATGTAAAAATTTCTTTTCAGCTATATGGTTAACATTGTTGATTCTGGTTGCGTATATATCATTTTTATATATGTTTCGAAAATGTGTTGGAATATTTCGAGGGAAGTCAACAAGCAAAGTCCGATATTGTGGTATAAGTGTTGCACCGTAGAAAGTGATATATGACACGAGTAATGATTGGTATTTTATTATTGGTATAAGGTCGTGTGTTTGTTAACGCGTACTGATTTGGAGATTGGATTATTGTTGAGATATTGCCTTGTCCCTCTGTTTTTTTTTTACCTCAGTTCTATGAAGGATATTTGGAATCTTCTTGGTCAAAGCATTGCGTTTACAATTTATAGGAATTGGCAGGATGCTCTGCAAATCGAATAAAATGACAGTATCCCTCATTTCCTTTATACTATTCCTTCCCTTACATAAGAGTATGACTATACCTAAAACTGTTTTAATATAAAACAACAACTAGTTGCAATACAAATTCTGTATTTGAGTAAGCGTCTAGACAGTCAGATGAACACTTATAATATGACATCATACAACCTTATTATTGTATAATAATACAGTAAAACTTGACTTTTACATGTTTAACAATTTTGCAAAACACGTAATCATTTATAATATCATTATTTCTGATAAATATACTTAAATGAAATACTAGCAATATTACTTTATACGATTACGTCACATCTATATGAAAAACTTGAAATATCATTTATACATAATGTTGGTCCACAATATATGAAAACCTTGCTAAAAATTTAAAATAAGCGTACAGGTCAGTCTGACTGTCCAAAGCTGAATGACTATTGAATCGATAATTTTGCACGTGCAAAAATTATACGAATAGCGACACCTAGCGGTCACTCATTACATTCAGGGAAATTAATTTTCTTCTTATTCGCTACTCTCAAACAAAGAAAATTACATGTCGTACAACGTTACGTCAATTTTAACGAGACGTCATATTGTAAGGTTTATTCGATAGGCTGATGGCCATACCCTATATGGACGAAGAAATTAAAGGAAAATAATTATTACAGTCATTAAACATACTTTATTTTTAAATTATGAGAATCGAACACCAATATCACAAAATTGTAATTTTCATTCTGACCTTTTCTGCACAAAACAACCGGACATCATTAGTCAATACGGATCGCTACATTTCTGTAGATAATTGGAAAAAACAACGGAATAATAGTTCCAAACTTCATAATATTTCAATATTTAAAATCGAAATAATAACATTATGTCAAAACACCATGCACAGTTTTATTGGCTTTTAACTTATCATGGATTTTACAATATGATTATAGAAATATGAAGTTTTTCATGCGAAACAATTGGGCGTCACCTATCTCAATTTGTTTTTGTTATCATTTTAAAACCATGCAAGTTGAAATGATTCGCGTATACAGTTATTATGCCTATATGTAACTGTAGCATACTTTTTTAAAACGATTCAATCATGGGCAGTTTTTAAAATTACATTTTAGTCTGTTAACAAATCAATTGTTTTCTATTTCGATTCTTCAGAGCCATATGTGGAATATTCAAGTACCAATAAGAGCTCGAATCAATTGCCCATGGGTGGAAATATCGACATCTTAATTATAGGCTCCCATTTCCCGTATGTAATATACAGGACTTTTCTCGATTTTATATCAAGAAAAAGAAAACAGATAAATTGTAATTTTGTGTTTTCTCTTGTATAATTACACTGAATTGAAAATATAACTCAAATATAACAAAATATTCTAAATTATACTTCATAAGCAAGTCTTGCACGAATATCTATATTTTAAGCATATTTTGATAGAAAACACTTAGTAATTAAATATCGTATTTAATAATATATCGTATTTGAAAACAAGCTCATATATTCATGACCTCATTGAATATTGCATTAGATAAAGCCGCTAGAAAAATATCGTATCATATGATATATTATATCAGCAACACAAGCACACAAATCAAACATCATCAGTTTTTTGTTTTGTATTTCTTGAATACATGATGTACATTATGCGTTATAATATTTAATAAAGACAAAATGATTCATGTTATTGTGTGTTGCATATTAATATCGAAGACGTCCGTGGCCGTTGATTTCAAACAACGTGCCTGAAATAATGCACGGAAGGACACATTAGGTCTCTCTCCACCATTAAACCTGGAACGTCGCCATATGGACCTATACCGTGTCGGTGCGACGTGAAACCCACAGGTAAACGTTGCGTGGCCATGACTTACACTAAACCCCCGTTCCCCCTCTACAACCCAAAACCCTAAAAAAAAAATTATGAAAAAAAAAAATTTTATGACTTAAATAATATTTAAGTCATAAAAATTTTTTTTTTATAATTTTTTTAGGGTTTTGGGTTGTAGAGGGGGAACGGGGGTTTAGTGTAAGTCATGGCCACGCAACGTTTACCTGTGGTGAAACCCAAACAAACAAACAGTAAATATTAATATCGAAAAGTTTTTCTATGAAGATGTAGTATTAATATGTTTCTAACACCACAACGTAGACTGAAGTAGTTTACATTTTTGTTTTATTTATTGCTTAAAATTGTTTTGTTTTTTCAATATTATGTCGGTCTAAGATGTTGCGATAACACAATTGTAAAACCTGAAGGGATGTGTTGTAAATACTCGTGCATTTATATGCTATCATTAAAGTAACTGATAGTCACGTATATAACAAGATTTCAGATACTTGTATTATCACATGTAAGAATTTCTTTAGAAATATATATTTAACATATTTCACACTGGCTGCGTGTTAAACTAAATTTGTATATTGCCTATACATGCTATATGCTTGGGAAATTTTGTTGGAATATTTCAACGGAAGTCAACACAAAAGTTTTGGTATTGTGATATTGGCCATCGTTTTATATCACGTGCACTGATTTAAAGATTGGATAATTGAAGAGGTATTTACTTGTCTCTCTGTTTCATATGACCCCTATTTATGAAGCATATTTTGGTTCTTCTTGATCACAGCATGTCGGCAACAATTTTAGGTATTGGCAGGATACTCTGCAAATCGAATAGATTAACAGTGTCCCTCATGTCGTACAACAAAACATCAATTTTCATCAGACGTCGTATTGCATGGTTTATTCGATATCCTGATGGCCATACCTGTTATGGACGAAGAAATCGCAGGAAATTATTACTTGAGTCATAAACCAGTTTTATTGAAAATATAACATTCGTACCCCAATATCGACAACAAACTCTTTACTTTTTATTTTGACCGTTTCGTCGCAAATCCGAAAATCATTAGTCATGAAGGATCGCTAGTTTAAAACAAGTTATATATCTCTGTAGATAATTGAAAACCCTGAAAAGCAGTTTTTCTTACCAATCATAGGTGAGACTTTTAAATAGCTTCTTTTTTAAAAAGATTTTGTTGTTTTATGTACAGTATTTGCTGTCAGTATGAAACTAAGCTATGTGTCAATTTCTATGCTAAGCTGTTTTATGATGTAAATCTTAGAGATAAGCATTTAAAGATAAAAACAAATCACTAAGATGAGTAATTATATATAGAATTTGAAGTTGACTAAGTCAATTTTAACTACAAACTTTTTATTTTTATTTGCAGAAGCAGTAAGAGACAGCCAAAGAAGTACTCAAACACCATCATACCCAGAAAGATCTAAAAGAAAAGAGCTTAATTGTTGAGTATTATAGTGAATTTAAGCTGCACTTGAACTGTATTTTTGAAATAAAATATATGAAGTATTTAATATTGT